CTTGGATCAGGGGTCTGTGAAGATCCTGGGCTTGGATCAGGGGTCTGTGAAGATCCTGGGCTTGGATCAGGGGTCTGTGAGGGTCCTGGGCTTGGATCAGGGGTCTGTGGGGGTCCTGAGTTTGTATCAGGGGTCTGAGGGTCCAGAGTTTGTATCAGGGGTCTGTGAGGGTCCTGGGCTTGGATCAGGGGTCTGTGAGGGTCCTGGGCTTGGATCAGGGGTCTGTGGGGGTCCTGGGCTTGGATCAGGGGTCTGTGGGGGTCCTGGGCTTGGATCAGGGGTCTGTGGGGGTCCTGAGTTTGTATCAGGGGTCTGAGGGTCCTGAGTTTGTATCAGGGGTCTCTGAGGGTCCTGAGTTTGTATCAGGGGTCTCTGAGGATCCTGGGTTTGTATCAGGGGTCTGTGGGGGTCCTGGGCTTGGATTAGGGGTCTGTGAAGGTCCTGAGTTTGTATCAGGGGTCTGTGAAGGTCCTGAGTTTGTATCAGGGGTCTCTGAGGGTCCTGAGTTTGTATCAGGGGTCTGTGGGGGTCCTGAGTTTGTATCAGGGGTCTCTGAGGGTCCTGAGTTTGTATCAGGGGTCTCTGAGGGTCCTGAGTTTGTATCAGGGGTCTCTGAGGGTCCTGAGTTTGTATCAGGGGTCTGTGGGGGTCCTGCTTGGATCAGGGGTCTGTGCTGAGGTAATATTTGTCAGGTGTTTAAACAGATATTTTACTAACAGACCCAACAGAAATAACAGTAATAAATTCTTCTTCCTCAGGACCAGAACCAGAACCAGAACCATAATAACCCATCTGTTCCACAGAACCAGCTGCTGGAGGTGGGCTGGAACAAATCCGAGGCGACTCAGAACGACGTGCAGAAATCTCTGAACTGCTGCGGCTACTCCTCCGTCAACTTCAGCACTTCCTGTCCTGCGGTGAGACCGGGTCTGGGGTGTAATATGGGGCGGCTGTGGTAGAGTGGTTAGGGGAGTCGTCCTGGAACCGGAAGGTCGCCAGTTCGATCCCCGTCCAGTCGACTCAGTCATTGTGTCCTTGGGCAAGACACCTTACCCGCCTTGCCTACAGGTGGTCAGAGGGTCTGGTGGTGCCTGTGCATGGCAGCCTCACCTCTGTTAGTGTGTCCCAGGGCAGCTGTGGCTACAATGTAGCTTACCATCATCAGTGTGTGAATATGAGCATGAATGGGTGAGTGTCTGTAGTGTGAAGTGCTTTGAGAGTGTCCTGGATGGATAGAAAGGTGCCATATAAGTACAGTCCATTTACCATTTACATACATTTGCATTCTGGTCCAGTCTGTGGACCTGGTCCAGTCTGTGGACCTGGTCCAGTCTGTGGACCAGTGGTGGATGCTGGTCTTTCAACAAGAGGAAGCTCAGTTTCGGCCCACATCATAAAATGTGTGGTTTATAAATTCTACCCTCTGTTCCTTTTTCAAGAAAATTTTAGTTTATAGTATTTATTCATTTCATTTTTAAAAACAAAACATTACACACAACAAAACAATACAAATAAAATAAAAAGCAGCAAAAGAAGAAAAATATCTTTTCATATCTGCTCCTATTTACAAAAAATATTAATTTCAAGCATTAAACCAAATAATAAAACAAAACTAAAAAATTCAATTCCTCAAACAGTGACTCATACAAATACAAAATTAAACAATTTCATATTTCTTTAACAAATTTGCTTTGATTTTTTTTACAGGAATTAATTTATCCAATGCTTTTATAATCATTTTYCAGATTATTCTATAGTGTTTTACAGCAGCCAGCTCTGTTAAACCAGGACAGCTGAAAAAACTGTCACTTTTCTCCACCTCTTGCACCAAATTAATCTGAGGAGCTGATCAGCCCTGCTGCTTAACTCTAAGTTTTTTCTCTGTAAACAAGACTATAATGGCTTCACCAAAATCCGCTCCACAACATTCAAACTATTATGTGCAGCTTGTTCCTGGTGCGAGGCTAGTGTGGTGTGTGTCCGTCTGTGGGTGATTCATGACGGTGGAGGGGCTCAGCAGCACCTGCTGGACAGAAGAAGTCAGAGTGATAGAAATGTCTCCAAATATAAGCAGCTACAGAAATAACACCAGAAACAGAAGTTCGATTTGTTGCTAGTCGTTTTTAACAAAGAAAATGCTGCTAAAAGGATTAATAAAGTCTCTGCTTCAACTCAGAACAGAAACGAAACTAAAAACTGCTCCCAGGCATGTTTACACCAAAAAGAGCGCTGATTCGTTCATTTCGCTGTCAATCAAAAAGGGATTCAGCCTCAGACAGATCATCCAATCGTCATGCAGACAACGAGCATCCGGCCCAGCCCCCTGCCCCATAGACCCCCAGAGACGCTCAGCGTCCGATGGGCGGGACAAAGCCAGCATTTATCCAATGACTCGTCTCCTTTAGCTGCAGTCTTTGCATCACTAATGAGCTCTGTGGACACTCAGCGGCCGACGGTTTGAAGAAAGCCACGTCGTTACCAGTGATAAGAAGCTGATTCTGAAAAAAACGTTGAGCGTGTTATGGTGCATATGACATGTACACACAACAGTATATATTCATACATGTCAACTTGTACAGATTGTCCGTAATTTATAAGGATTTTACGTCATTTTGCAGGTATACAGACATATAGAGCAAACTCACGGATTTTTTCAAGTCTTACGGATATTTTAAAAACCTCATTTTCAAATTTATCTAACATGTCAGAGCCTGTAGGATGATTTAAAAAACAATAAACGATATCAAATAACCATCTTCCAACCTGCTCTGCAGGTAGAAATAAGTTTTTAACTTTTTCCGCTCTCCTTTCCTCCGGCTTCACAGCGGGCGCTTTCATGTCCTCAGCTGACAGACACCTAAAGTTAAAATCAACTCTTGAAGTGTTGTATTAACTCTGGTCATTTGTTGGTAACAAACAGCACAACAGTGTGTAACCCTTCACACACCAGGAAGTAGCTCTCACTCATGGTGTCAACTTATGGCAAATAACACAAAACTTAAATGTGAAAAACTAACCAGAAAAACACATTTTTACACTCATGAACCTTTTTAACAGTCTTAAACATGCAAACACATAATTTCTACTAGATTACCCAGCATTCCTTGCTGAGAAAATTCTGGTCCAAGAGGAAGAGGGTGGGGCTTTTCAGAATAGTCTTTCAACACTGCATTGTGTTATATAACAACACTGTTAAGTGTTAATCAAGACTTAACAGTGGGTGGAGCTTATCTGTCCAGAGTTGAGACAATAGTGATGAAATCATCCCTGTGAATTAACTCCAACACTGGATGAGCTGAAATTAACTCTGAAAAGTTTAACACTGTTTTATATTTTACTGTGCAGCAGTGCTTCAGCTCTCCTCAGACCTGTGTCAGCTGCTCCTCCATCCTGCAGACGTATGCAGGTGAGGTTCTGCGTTTCATCGGAGGCATCGGGCTTTTCTTCAGCTTCACAGAGGTGAGTCTCACCTGAGCTGCAGGCGAACCTCCTGCTCCGAGCTGCAGGCGGACCTCCTGCTCCGAGCTGCGGGCGAACCTCCTGCTCCGAGCTGCGGGCGAACCTCCTGCTCCGAGCTGCGGGCGAACCTCCTGCTCCGAGCTGCGGGCGAACCTCCTGCTCCGAGCTGCAGGCCAACCTCCTGCTCCGAGCTGCAGGCCAACCTCCTGCTCCGAGCTGCAGGCCAACCTCCTGCTCCGAGCTGCGGGCCAACCTCCTGCTCCGAGCTGCGGGCCAACCTCCTGCTCCGAGCTGCGGGCCAACCTCCTGCTCCGAG